TAAGCCTGTTCAAGTTGTGCCTAAAAGGAAGGCATCACTTGTTGTTAAAAATAAAAGAATAAATTAATCCCCCAAAGAACCATTACTGGATGGCGGATGTGCATAGATTACTGAAAACTTAACAAGGCAACCACGAAAGATCACTTTTCGTTGCCCTTTATTGATGAAATGTTGGAGTGACTAGCGAATCACTCTTTATTTTGTTTTCTTGATGGGTATTCAGGTTATGACCAGATACCGATCTATCTAGATGACCAAAGCAAAACCACATTTACATGTCCATATGAAACTTATGCTTACCGTAGAATGTCTATTGGATTATGTAATGCTCTAACTTCTTTCCAAAGATACATGATGTCTATATTTTTTGATATGATTGAGAAAATCATGGAAGTTTTTGTGGATGATTTTTCTGTTTATAGAAAAACTTTTGATGATTGTCTTGAAAATTTAGACAAGGTTTTGCAAAGATGTGAAGAAAAGCATTTAGTCATTAATTGGGGAAATTGTCATTTTATGGTAAGAGAAGGCATAGTGCTTGTACATTTAGTGTCCGAAAGAGGGATTGAGGTAAATAGAGCTAAAATTGAAGTAATTGAACAATTACCTCCTCCCGTAAATATCAGAGGGATCCGCAGTTTTCCTGGCCATGTGAGGTTTTACCGCCGTTTCATAAAAGATTTTTCACATATTGCTAGACCATTTACAAATCTTTTGGCCAAGGATGTTCCCTTTGAATTTGATGATGTATGCTTGAAATCTTTTAACATTCTGAAGAAAACACTCATCTCTGCACCAATCATTCAACCCCTGATTGGTCGCTACCTTTTGAAATTATGTGTGATACTAGTGATTATACTATGGGGGCAGTTTTAGGACAAACTAAAGATAAAAAAGCATCATGCGATTGCTTATGCTAGCAAAACTTTGATAGGACCTCAGCTTAATTATGCAACAACTGAAAAAGAACTTCTGGCTATTGTTTTTGCTATTGATAAGTTTAGATCTTACTTAGTAGGAGCTAAGGTGATTGTTTATACTGATCATGCTGCTTTAAAATACTTACTCACTAAGAAAGATGCTAAACCTAGACTTATAAGATGTATTTTGTTACTCCAAGAATTTGATTTAGAAATAAAAGATAAAAAGGGAGTAGAAAATTCTATTGCGATCACTTGTCTAGAATGCAGTTTGTGAATTCACAGGAACTGCCCATCAACGATTCGCTGTGGGACGACATGCTCTTCAAAGTCACAAAATCTGACTCCTGGTACGCAAATATTGTTAATTTTATGGTTGCAGGTTATGTACCACCAGGGGAGAACAAAAGGAAGCTCATCTACGAAAGTCATCTCCACATATGGGATGAACCATATCTCTTCAGAGTCTGCTCTGACAGCCTGCTCAGAAGATGTGTACCGGTGGAAGAAAGCACCAAGATCATTGAGCGATGCCACTCATCACCATATGGAGGACATTATGGCGCATTCCGCACTCATTCAAAGATCTGGCAAAGTGGATTCTTCTGGCCAACCATGTATGAAGATACGAAGGACTTTGTCAGGAGGTGTGGAGCATGTCAGAGGCACGGGAACATTAATTCAAGAGATGCCATGCCACTCACCACCAACCTCCAGATAGAGCTCTTCGATGTCTGGGGAATCGACTACATGGGACCGTTTCCAAAGTCAAGGAACTGTGAATACATCTTGGTGGCAGTTGACTATGTCTCCAAGTGGGTTGAAGCCATGCCATGCAGAACTGCTGATGCTAAGAACTCCAAGAAAATGTTTGAAGAAGCAATATTTCCACGATTCGGAGTTCCGAGAATGGTGATTAGTGATGGAGGCACTCACTTCACTGACAAGAACTTTCATAACTACTTGTCAAAACATGGGATCTGTCACAATGTCGCTACTCCATACCACCCTTAGATAAGTGGCCAAGCAGAAACATCGAACAAACAAATCAATAATATTCTGTAGAAGACAGACAATGAGATGGGGATTCATTGAAAGGATAGACTACCCGATGCATTATGGGCTTACAAAACAGCCTATAAAACACCACTTGGGATGTCACCATACTAACTTGTCTATGGAAAGACCTGTCATGTACCTATTGAGCTAGAATTCAAGGCTCACTGGCTATAAAACGATGGAACATGGACTTTGAAGCTACCGGAACCAAGAGGAAGATGCAACTCTCCGAGCTTGATGAATGGCGTGAAAAAGCATATCACAATATACAAGGAGAGGACAAAAATATGGCATGACAAGAGGATTAAGAAGAAGGAGTTCGCCCCTAGAGATATGGTATTACTTTTTAATTCTAGGGTCAAATTATTCGGGCACGGGAAACTTCGAAGCAAATGGGAAGGACCATTCAAGGTGATAAACACCTCGTCGCATGGAGCGGCAACACTTCAAAACGACAAAGGTACGTTATTTAAGGTAAATGGCCACCATTTCAAAATCTTTCTAGAACCTGAAAAACCACCTGAGGATTTGGATGAGGTAGATTTTCTGATTTTACCAAAGATTTACACCACTGCTCTTTACCAGAGCTCTGGTGTCCCCAACCACGGGCAGCTCTGGCCTCTGCATCCTCTCCGGCATGGTCTCCATCCCCATGTAGGACAGGAGGAGCCAGACGGTGGGAGAGGTACTCATTGCCGTTGCCCGAGGCTCTTGGCGTGCAGTACCCTCGGCACTGCCAAATGGAGAAGCAGAGCATCTCCACCCACACACCCTAGATCACCGCCCACATCTTATCATCCGTGTGCTCTCTTGCTCGAATCTTGAGCAGCTCCTCCTCTTTGGTCATAAGATTCCTATCCATGAGCTTCGTGAGTGCTTTTTGCTTCTTCGTCTCCTCTTCCAACTTATCGTTGATCTCCTTGATGACCGCCTGTGCACTCCTAGAGAAATCGTCCTGCATTTGCTTTTTCTTCCTCTCCTCTTCTTTCTCCTTCCCTTCTCCTTCTCTTCCCCATGGCCTTGAGCTCATTTCCTCTGCCTCCTTTTGTCCCATCTTGATGAGCTCCATTGCCTTATTTTCCTCGTTCTTGATGAACTCCACGTGCCTTGTTCCCGCGTATTCCAAGAGCTTCTCCTCCTCTCCCACCTGCTCAATGACCTCCTCAACCTTCTTGGTGAACTCCTTGACCGCTTCCATCGTCTTCTCCTCTTCATTGATGAACTCCTCTGCCATCTTCTTGGCGGTTTCAAGAGGTCCGTAATCTTCTCCTCCTCCTTCGTTTGCTTCTTTTTTCTCGCTGATGCACTTCTCAGCATAGCTGATGAAGTTCTTTGCCTCGATGATGAACTCCACCGCCATCTCTTTGAAAGTCTTCTTGCCGCCCTCGGTGAGAGTGAATTGGTGCTGCTTGTTGTTGTTATCGGCGTCGTCGATGAGTTGGCTTCGCCTTCTCATTGGCGAACGCATACCGCCTATTAGAGCATCTCCAAGAGTTCCCTAAATATTTCTTCTAAAAAGTCTATGTTTACCAACTCCTAAAAAGGTTTTAGAAGAAAAAAAGAAGTTCATCTTCAATAGTTCATAATATTTGACTTCTAAAAATTAAATGCGGGTCCCATTTGACCTTTTTTCTGCAGTCTTTTTTTTCCACGCGAACCTCTTCGTCGCCGCGCGTATCCACGCCACCGCTACCTGCTGCTGCTCTTCCTCCCTTCGCTCCTACTCTTCCCTGCGGACGCCCGCCCGCCCGCCCCTCCCAGTCCCGGCGCCATTGTGTGTACCTGTTGTCTTTGTGCCGAAACACCTGCAGCCAGCTCGAGGTGCGCCTCACGGACGCGTATGAGCTGCCCCCGGAGTCGCCGCAATGTGGCGCGGGCAGCAACGAGCGCAACCAGTGGTTCCGGCTGTGGAGGAACGCCACGGCCATGGACGACCCCGCCGTCGCGCCGTGCCTCTCCGACCAGCTCCGCGTCGTCTATGACCCCGCTGCCCGCGACTTCCGAGCCAAGGTACCGGAGAGGACCTCGGCAGCAAGCGCCCGGCGATGCGCGCCAAGCGGCGCGTACAGAAAAAGGCGCAGAAGAAAGGCTTGGCCGCCGGGGCGAGGGGGGCGTCAATGCGAAACACACCCGTGCGAGCGTGGGGCTGGAGGCGACGGTGCGCAAGGTGCAAATCTCGCGCACAGTGGGCGGCGGCCGGCCGGTATCCCGATGTTGGCCTCGGGCGACTCGAGGCGGCATCCTCCTCGGCGTCGTCATCCTCGTCGATCGGCGGCGGCGATCTGCGAGCATGTGCACGCGGCTACGTGGGCGCGGCCTCCCCAGCGGTGACTTCTACGGGCGATGCGTGGCGCGCGCGCGCGCCACAGGGGCCGGCAAATGCGTGTGGACCGTCGGGTGCATGTACGAGAGGGGAGTGGCGGCATGGCAAGGCCACGGGCGGGCAAGTTCTCCTGGCCCGCGTCGGGCGCCACCTACGAGGCGAGTTCAAGGACGGGTTCATGGATGGCTCCGGCACCTACACGGCACCGCCGGGCCCGGTCCATGAACCTCAAGCACGGCAGTGGGAAGAAGGACTCCGCGGGAACGGCGTCTCCGAGTGTGGCTTCGTCCGCGTAAAGTTACGCGGAAGGGGGAGGAATTTTTCAAGTCCTAAAAGATTAGGAGTAAATATTAGTAGTTGTTGGAGAGTGTTTTTCTCATTTTCTAAAAATATGGATTAGGAGGATGTTTAGGGAACTCTAGATGAATTTCCACTTCTCGATGAACTCCTTTTTCTTCTCCTTGGCAATTGGCAAATTCCTTCAGCTCGTTGGCGACCGCCCAGGCTTTGTGAACAACATTTTCCGAGCCGAGACCGATGGTACTTTTCACCTTCTGGATCACCTTCCGCACCATCTCGTTCTCGGACCTTGGTGGAGGCGCTTTCTTCTCCGTCGGCTCTAGCTCCGCCTCCGCTAGCTCATCCTCTGGCGGCGGCTTGAGCATCTTCCTGAGCTCGTGGTAGGTTGCCCTAAAGAGCTAGCTCCTGACACCGGGGATCAGCATCTCCGGCTCGACGAACAGCAGGTACGCCATGTAGTTGGACACCATCCTGCTGTGGCGGATGGCGTCGTGGCCGGTGTCCACGTGGTCGAAGTAGCAGAACTCCGTGGCGAGGTGCCAGAGCAGGACGCTCTCGTGGAAGGGCATCCGCAGGCTCTCCTCGATGGCCTTCCGAATCCGATCGCGGTCGCGGCATCCCTCCCTCTGCAGAGTCCACTGGCCGCGGCTGTCGTTGAACCGCCGGTAGGCTCCACACACGTCGGTTGGAGTGCGTTCGCCGGCGGCATCGTCGCACTTGTACAAAGATTTTGATATGTAGTCCTTCCACCCACCGGCGACGTGGTCGTAGACGAGCCTGGTGATGCCGACGGACGGCTGGGGCGGTGCCGTACAGCAGAGCCTGTCCAGGAGGACCCTGGCTCCCAGCAGGCGGGGGAGCGCCCAGAACCACGGGTGCTTCTCGTTGCGGGCGAGGTAGCCGACGAGGTTGTACTGGGCGAGCTTGTCGTCGGGCCGCGGCAGGCCCGACGCCAGCACCAGGCACGCCGAGACGAACTCCAGCGCGGCGGTGCAGCCGAGCTGGACGTAGGTGATGACGACGTCGGCGCGGTCGTACGCGCCACGGTGCCTCCTCTGGAACAGCCTGATGACCACGAGCGTCACCAGCGTGACGGCGGCGCGCAGCAGGTCGTGCACATCGGCTGACTCGGCTCTCGCGGAGCGCGGCGCCACGAGCCCCAGGTTCCGGAGCCGGATGGAGTAGGGGTGGCCGCGGTCCACGAAGAGGTGGTACGGCTGGTCGGCCAAATCGTCCTCCACAGGCTGGGTCACCGGGTTGGCGACGGTCTCGGCTGCGGCCTGCACGTACTTCTCCTGCGAGTTGATGTCCTTCTCCTTCTGCTGCGCGTCGTCTTCGTCGAGGGTTGCTTCTTCCAGCTGTGAATCGGAGGAGTTCATGATGCTCGCCACCGTCGCGTTCTTGAGAGCCCATGGCTTCTCCAGGCACTTGAGGATCCCGGGGACGAAGAGCAGGATTGCTGCTCGCAGTAGGATCATGTCACCTGACCATCATGACTTGCGGAAAACGTAGATGGCGATGGTGATCTGGCACATGCATGCATAGGCAAATGTGAGTCATAAACCATGTTCCACAAGGCACTATAATTAGGCGCTCGCCTAGGCGCGCTTAAACGCTAGGTGGAGGGGCACCGCCTCGCCTAAGGGGGTAGGCGGAGGATAGGTGGCATGCTTGCAGATCCCGAGCAGAGCTGCGTGAGGGATCGGAGTGACGGCTGGTGGCGGTGGAGGCGGCAAGCGCGGCTGTGAGGAGGCTAGCTGTGGGTGCGACCAGGAGGCAGGGGACTTCAGGTGGTGGCAGAGGTTGCAGGGATGTTGCGTGGCTGCGGCGAAGAAACAGGGACAGCGGGGCGGCGCGGACGGGACAGGAACGACCTGGGGGCGGCGAGAGGCGCGGAGGAGGCAGGGACGGTGCGACGGGTGGCGCGGAAGTTTCTTCTTTTCTTTTAGACTTTTAGAAGTAAATATGTATAGATATGAAATGCCCAAGCATGCCTAGGCTCGCCTAAGCTCTAGACGGAGGGTCGCCGCATAGAGAGCGCCTACTGCCTCATCTTTTAATTATGGAATAGATCGATGAGTTTCCTACTCTCCCATGTTTCCCCTTCCTGCCCCGGTCTCATGATCGCACGCTGCCTCCGCGGACGAAGCCGTGCAGTCGAGAGCTCAGGCTGCCGCTCGGCTGCTGCTGGTCTATTCTTCCCCAACAAAGCCCCCCACCACCATCACAGATCACACTACTACTCCTTTAAGCGCAAAAAAATTCTCTGCATCACGTACACAGAGAGGACTGTGCAGCACGGTTTGGTTACCGTGCAAAGTCATCCTTCCGCCAATCTCACTCACGTCACGTCGCATCCTTCCGCCTGGTGAGGTGATTTCGCTAATCACATGCTGGACAGAATCCTCTTTGCATAAGTGAATGATCTAAATCCACTGATTCAGAGAATCCCCCCTAAGCTATGTTTTCGTCAAGAGTAAAAAGACGGAAGCTAACGAGTGAAGTTTATCCACTCTCATTGACCAGTACACTCAAACTATACCAAGCTAAGTAACCTCTTGCATTGGTACCATACCACCAGTAGCAGCACTCTAAAATACCTTCATTTACCCACTAGATATATATTTTGAGTAAAATATTAATTTGACTGAAAGATTATAACTGTATAACTATTTTTTAAATTTTTTTTGAAGCGTGCACACTACAGATGGTCATGAATGTGACATATAGCTGTTGGAATGCACTAACCTGAGACACCGAAACCAGAAGGTGCCGCCTCCAGTTCTCATTGTCCTCTATGCTGTAGGCTGTAATGCTGTCCTGGCCGCCGAGGTGCAGCAGCAGGATGGGCGCCCACAGCGTCTCCAGGTGGGCGCTGGCCGGGTTCGTGGCCAGGGCCTCCTCCTTGTGGCGGATGAAGAGGGTTGCCAGGGCGTAGGTCGCCACGACGTCGCCGCCTTGGTAGTGGTAGGCCAGCCAGATGAGGGCCCTGAACCAGTGCGGGATGCGGAGCTTGCGGACGACGGCGGCGGCGAAGAGGAAGTACTGGAAGAAGAGGCTGGCCAGGACGAGCAGCCGCAGCTGCCAGTCCTCCCACCATTGCACGGCTGCTGAGAAGCACATGGCCTCTCAAACTCGCTCTCAACTCTCTTGTGCTGTTTGCCGTTTCGATCGGGACATTGATGCCTATTATTTAGCTGCATTCCTCCCCTCTCTATATACTACTAGGTGGAATCAGATGACGGCTTCTCTCACATGTGCTCCGTGCGAGGTCCGAGCTAGCTAGCTGTGCCTGCCGTGTTGTGCTACTTGTTCTTGAGTGCATGTGCCGCTCTTTTGTAAGATGATGTACATGCCTCTATTTTTTTTTGTTTAACAAGACTTGTTTTTTTTTCCAACTCAAGGCATCATCAGCCCAGCTTTTTATAAACAAAGAAACTTAACTAGGCATGTGACATGGACATTCACTGTCGGTTTTGGACCACCTCCAATCATTTTCTGATTTTGAAGGTCCGAACCAGCATTGAAGAGTCATCACTGCCGGTTCTGTGAAAACCGACACTAATGAAGCCGGCAGTGAATGTCGAATCTATAGTAGTGAGGTAGCTAGGGAAATTTTCAGAGGAAAGGCATCATTTGCCCAACACATAAGCAAGTATCTACATAAGGAGCATGCATGTTTAAGTTTTTGAAACTTTTGTAATGGTGTGATGCTTTTATATTTATTCTTGTACATCATGTCATATGCATGACGGATTATATTATGGCACGTACAAGCACTCTCAATGCATGCAATGACGTAAAGGATTATAACTATTATTAATTGGACCTTGACTGGGACAGTAATCTAAGGAGGCGTACATTGGATGACTTGCTACTATACGGTCTTTTATTTTTCTTCTCTTCATGACTATCACGGCCTCTAGTTTATTTTTTTTCTTAAGTTAAACTTATCTCAATTTGACCAAGTTTATAGAAAAATACATTAACATCTACAGTACCAATCAATTGCACTACGAACTCATATTCAATGGTGGACAAAGTGAAACTAATTTGATGTTTGTAGAAACTGGTACACTAATTTGTGAAAGTTTGAGGACTTTGGTTTTAAAACAAAACTTAAAAAAACATGTAACCGAAACAGAGAGAGTATGTAGTTTTTAGAAGTCCCCTCAGTCATATTAGACTGGGGTTAACTAGTTAACAATCAACGGGGCTTCTTTTTGGTGGTTACGCTACTTTTACATACTTGAAAAATAGTACAACCATGGTGGTTGCATTTTCTAATTACTTGCAATGTAAAACTCGTTAGTTCTAGAAAGAATTTGGCAAATCACTCCTTATATGTACTTCTCCAAGAACAAATTAAGATTAGTGCGTGGCACAAGAAAAAAGAGAACAAAGTTTAGTGTACCATACCAAATGGACAAATGTGGAGTGCGTCAAATATGATGATAATCAAGAAGCTTGGTATGATTATTAACATTGTTACAGTACTGATTTTTATAGTTGTTGTAATGGCATCATTTGTATATGACTAAGTTGGGTCTTTTGTCTTCTACTAGGTAACGTGCCCGTGCGTTGCTACGGGATAACTAACAATTTATACTAAAAACACACGGATCGCACGATAAGATAACAATACTGTTAAATTAAATACCAACGTTAAAGTGATATTTAATCCAAAAAGCAAAGTTTATGAATTTAACACAGTCATGGAGTGCGCGGCGTCGCAGGCTCACAAACTCTAGAGCTTCCAGAGATTGGGTCGAATCCAACCTAGAGCCTCGAAACCCTATATCTTTTCCTAGACGGGCTTTACTTCGGATGCGCCGGTAGCAATATCAACGATCTCCAGTCGATGGACCAAGTCGTATGGATCCCCATACAATGGCTCAGACATGTAGATTTTGTTCTCCTTGTACGTGGATACACTTGTTCCACTGAAGCTTTCATTGAAATGTTTAGACAAGAACAGTGTCTGATCACCGATGTCCCTCACCCTAAGCCACTCCGGCGTACGGTCGTGGAGGTTGCACTTGTAGATCGCGCTGCTGTAGATGAAGCTCTCTGTCTCGTAGAACGTGCTCATCATGGCACCCACAATGTGCAGCTCATCGTTTGATTCCTGGTAGCTGCGGTGGTAGAGCCCCGCAGGTGGCGACAGCGATGGCAGCAGCGTTGCGGTTGGAGTAGTGTCGGCGGCGTTGCTGCTGCAGACGGAGATTTCTCCAGTGCAGTCGATCGCCAAGAACTTGTCTTGGCAGTGAACGATAGACCCCACGGAGAACTCTAGTTTGGTGTCGAGCAGCGTCCATGTGCTGTCGACTCCAACCCGGCAGAACGCGACCTCCGTGAAGCACCCAAGCATGGCCATGGCCACGCACTCGCGGTCGGCGACGCCGAGAGCACAATCTCACGGAAGAACATGTCCCTCATGTCTTCTAGCTTGATGGCTCTGCCTGCGTCATCCGTGTCCCCGTAGCCATTGGTGGGATGGAGGACCCACCGGCCGTGGACCCTAGACACACGTTTCGATGAGGACGCCGCCGCGACGTGTTTGCCTGCTTGCGGAAGCTCAACGTGGGGGGCACAGGCACCGGCGAATGGATTCAGCAGCGTCACGGACGCCGCCTCGTCCATGAACGCCAGCCACCCACACGAGGAGCCGCATGCCACCTTGCCGCGCACGTCGGGCAGTGTCTTGGACAAGACCTTCTTCTCTGGGACGCAGTAGAAGCCGACGCGGTCCGAGTCGGGGTCGAACGGGAGCAGCAGGAGCGGCCCGAAGGTCACGAACGGGACGGCGGCGCGCTATGGGGAGCAAGCGGATCGGAAGGACGCCGCGTCGTGGCCTGACGCGAGACGCTGCCCGATGGACTCGAGGAGATCCTCTGGCAGGTCGGATCTCCAGTCAGGGAGAGGTAGGGACCTTCTCTTGGGATTGGGAGAGGCTGAGCCATAAAAGATAGATAACATCAACTATGGTTCACGCAAGAAACAACAAGCGAGGACGATAGAACACGTGAGCGTGAATCCAAATGAAAGGAGAAAAAAGCTGTCCCTTTTGTAAATGCAAAGAGGGAAAGTAATTAAATGTAGGCAGATTTGGCAAGGTTCTTAGAAATGCAAAGGGGTTCTTTTTGTCTTAATTCTCTTTCCTTCTGTGTTAATTCTCTTTCTTTTTGCTCGTTGCCATGTATGCTGGTGCATGCAAACATGCAATGTGTATATTGATAGCACAATAATTTTGTACTTCCCATTTTGCCGTGATTCCTCTATCACATGACAGGCAATATTCAATCAAGGAGAATGACACGATCAATCAGTAATTAAGATGTCGTGGGATCGCAGGCGTGGACGGACGGACGAACCAAAACAAATGTCGCACCAAAAAATGTCCACACTTTATTTTTTTAGTTGTAGGAGATATATATAATACTCTCGTGGTCCTTTCCATCGAATCTTCCTGCCATGTGATTAACTAAACGTGATTATTATTTTTTGATTGGGCCAGCTAGCCCACATGCTTGCCATGTGCCCAATAGTTGCCTCACTCCGGTCTCATAAAAACAAAGAGAGGAAAACCACTCACAATCTGCAACGTTCGTCGCTGTAACGTCCGCGACTGAGCAGAGTTGTAGCCTCTCTAGGTCGCCACAGCACTTGCAAATTAAATAGCTCTCGTGCATGTGCTGCATGCGCGCCCCATCCATCGGTTCGGTGCTACAGATACCGCCCAAGTGCGAACAGTCCTGACAAACCCTACAAGGTATCCCTGAGTAAAGATACGCACAACTGACCACCTAAGGTATATCTGGGCACAAAGGCCTTGGCACGCATCGAATCTTCCACAAATCCTTAAACAAACAAGTACGGTACCAAAATAAATATTGTTCTCGCTTCTCGAGAAATCAAACGTTTTTAACTTTGACTATATATAAGAAAATATTAATATTTATAATACATAATTAGTATCATTAGATAAATCGTTGAATCTACTTCGTAACAAACTTATTTGGAGATACAAATGCTACAAATATTTTCTATAAACCATAGCAATATTTATTTTGGGACGGATGTAGTAGTTAATTAAATGTTAGTATATTGTTTTTGGATTGCGCCAGCCCACATGCTTGCCATGTGCAGTTGTGCACAGGGCGCTCCATAGTAGTGGAAGTCATCCTACATAAACCAAACGTCCAAACCCTTTTGTTTGCTTATTTGTACAACTAGCTCCAGTCCTTTTGTTAATGCACATCCGTCCACTCTTGTCACATTATTTTTACGACCACTAACTCCAGTCCTTTTGTTTTCTCTATAAAATTTGTTTCATGGTCGATGGGATCCACTCAGTACGTGCTCGACCGGAAGGACAACTTGAGACTATCCCAATCAGAGTGATAATAACGACAAGCAAGTTGGAGATAAATAAATATTAGAAATGGCTAAAATTATGTCCCTACACCCTTACCTACAGTTGTCGTACCATTATACTTTATGACTAGCTTGCTTCAGTCCTCTCATTTCACACTTCTATCGAGTATATATATATATATATATATATATATATATATATATATATATATATATATATATATATATATATATATATATATATATATACTTACTTTGTATAGCTTCTGACATACTCAACTTTAAGTACTTTATCGTCTGTGTGATCTCCCGTCTCCGCAAATTCCGCATACTCCCTCCATCCCGAAATAAGTGTTGCTGTGGTATCTGTGCTAAGTTTAACTAGGTTTGTTGAAAATATTAGCGACATTTATATCTCTAAATAAGTTTATTTTGAAGATAGATTCAATGGTCTATCAAATGATACTAATTATGTACTATAAATATTAATATTTTCTAATAGATATTTGGTTAAAGTTAAAAATGACTCCTCCAAAAGCGAGCCACTTAGCTGGGGAGGGAGGGAGTACATGCTGAGAATGGTTTGGGCTGAAACCGGGTTTTGTGGTGTGGTTTTCTATTTGGGCCTACACGGTTTGAGTGAAAATGGGCTAAAGAGTCTAGTGGGCTCGTTCGGTGTGGATTACTAGCTACAGTAGCATGGTTCGGTTTCCATCTGTCTCCGACGCCCGACCCCTCTCTCTCTCTCGACTCTCTCCCCTCGCGACGCTTCTCTCTCTCTCGACTCGCCATGGCGGCTAGGGTTTGCTAGTTGCTACTCCATCGCCCTATCCACCACAAGCCACTGGCTTTCCTCTCACCCCGTTGGCGGTAGTCGAGCACGGAGCCGCGATTCCGCAAACCCGTCGAGGCCGCGGCAGAATGGCGGCGCGCCAGAGGGAGACAGTGGGTAGGGAGCGGCGGCGGGGGAGAGGGACTGAGCGTGGGCAGCACGTGCCTGACGGTGTGCTGTGTGCAAGGACGGAAGCCATGAAGGGCGCCGCCGGGTCTTCAGCGTGCGCAACATCGGCAAGACGGCAAGACTCTGCTGTCCAGGACACAGGGGACTAAGGCATGCCTGCTCCTCTTCTCCTGCTCCCTCTGTTTGTGAATCTAATCGCTGCCTTCGTGTACTGTGATAAACTACTTAGTCCATGAGATGTGTAGTTGAACTTTAACCAGTCCAAGTTCCTCCCTTGCGTAAGGGAACGGCACAGAGCCCCTGAGTTTATTGTAGCTGAGGTTGAGGACATATATGAATCAATGAATGTGTAGGCAGGGAGTTGACCTACCTTAGTGAACAGATTGTGCTGCAGGTACAAGAAAGTCTTGTTTCTCCAGATCCAGTCTGGTATGTTGCCGTGAATGCTATTGTTGGAGAGATCGTGATAGTTTAGTTTAGGTAGATATTTTAGCACACTGGGTACCCTGGTTAGGCCGCAAGATGCAAGTTCAAGTGTATCAATAATACTACTATTATTAGACCCATCATCATGATCCTCCGCAGAAACTGATAGCAAGGGGTTATTGGAGGCTCTTATGACAGAGAGGTTCCTTAGCATCAAGTAAGGATACAGATCCAGTGTACCCAAGAAATTGTTTGAGCCCAGCTCTAGTTTAGTAAGAGCACTAAGCTGCGAGAATGAGGTTGGAATTGTGCCGTTGAGCTTATTGTTAGACAAGTAAATTTCCTCCAGCATCGTAGATGGTTTCTGGAATTCCTCGATATGACCTGATAGATGGTTATATCTAAGGTCCAAATACTGCAATGCTGGCTGGGAGAATATGGATGCTTGTATATGGCCGGTGAATGAATTGCTACTCATATCCACTCTCTGGAGGTTACGGAGTTTATTTCCGTCGCTCAGAGGAATTTCCATGTGACTTTGGTTTTGTTGTCATGTGTGACCAAATTTCTATTTAAGAATCTGTCTAAATCACCAGTATTTACATGTATGTATCCTACACACTAACTTTGATTTTTTGGCATTAACTAGGTAGCGTGCCTGTGCGTTGCTATGGGATAACTAAACTTTTATACTAAGAACACACGGATCGCATGATAAGATAACAATACTGTGAAATTAAATACCGACGTTAAAGTGACATTTAATCCAAAAAAGCAAAGTTTGTGAAATTAACACAGTCACGGAGAGCGCGGCGTCGCAGGCTCACCAACTCTACTGTATAGACCTTTCCGTGCGTTGCAACGGGAACAAATAATGCCCTAATAATTTGAGCATGAACATGTTATATTGTTAAAAAAAACGTTAATGCACGCCGGCACCTCGTCCGCCGTCCATTCGGCGCTGGATCACCACCGCCGCCCGATCCGTCGCGGCGACGCCCCTCCCACGGCTTCAACTGCACCCCACCCACCGTCCACCCCAGTCTCTTACTCGCCAAATCTCGTTTTTTCAGAAGAAGAAAATGGGGTGAGGGATGGGAATCGAACCTTTGCGGTGTGGTGTGAGGGGGCGGAGGGCGTGCGTGGGGATGGCATGCCGCGCGTGGGATGCAGCCAGGAGCATGGGATCGCATGCAGGCAGACCGACGTTTTTAGTCTTTTTAGTTGTAAGAGATGTAGCAACTCCATGGGCAATAGATTTCGTCATGTTTTTCATGGATTATTATTTGGTGCATCTGGACTCTATGTCACGGTTGAATATGAAATTCCAAATTTTAGATTCGAAACGCTGTTGGAATAGTATGAGTCCTGTTTACAAACTTTGAATTATTGTGATATATTGCAGTGTGTAGTACCTTTGAAAAAAAAAACAATGTTTTGATTTGTTGTTTGCACCCAATCATCACTTATACTGATAGAGTTACCCACTACAAGGTTTTCAGGATAATGTGATAATGCACAACTGATTTTAATAGGAAATGCACTTTAGACTTGTAGTTGTCTGAACTATTTGCAGAACTTCAATTAAAATTCAATGTGATAGACTGTTCTACACAAAGGTTGGTGAACGCTGGAAGAATTATGAAGTCATAGTATATACTGGAAAAGTGGTAAATCAAACCTGCTGATGTGATATAAAACACTTAGAGATCAGTAATGATCTCTATGCATCTCCAACTCTTCACATATGCAACTGAATGAAGTTGAGTTCCTTGTTCCTGGCACTTGATTTGTTTTATTCTGCACATGAATGTGCAAAGTTAGAAGCATCCTTCCTTAATTTTTCCAGCAATTCTGTGCAAACTATTCTTTAATTGCAAGTTTTTTTCTGCAGCACAAAATCAAAGGCTTTATTGGGAGCCCAAGCCAATTACAGCTTCCTCATATTTCAGTTTAATTTAAGTTTATGCTTTTTCGGCAATATTCATCTAGAACATTAAGGAAGTATCTTCAATGTTAGCAGAAAAAATACTAATCACACATATTAACTGGTCCTAATATAGTGGGGTAATAAATTATATTTGGTTGTGAACATATATTACAGAAATTAAATACTTTTGCTGACATTTTCATGATCATTTATTCTGAAATACATGCTGCAGTATATCAGAAACCAAATTGCTTGTCTTAAAACAGAGAGAAAAAACTCATAAGCACTGCCAATTGCCAAATCTAATTTCCACATGAATAGGACAGGAAGCAAACTGAACTTACATCCGTTCCGGGAGGATGTTTTCCATACTGAATTGTCATCAACCCTCACATACACCTGAAATCACAAAGTAAAACTCATAAACACTGCCAAACCAAACTGATCAGACCACAGGATAGTGATGTTAAATGTATATTTGGCAATGCACAAGCAAGCTGCGAATGACATGAAAAGGCAATAATTTTAGGATGCTTCAAAAGTTATAGCGTGAGATAAATCGGTCAGGACTCAAGATTCAAGCCTGAAGCCCCATAGAAATAGCAAGGATTGAGATTAAAGTTCATAGGTAGAAAACACCAAATCAATAAGACTTAGTATAAGGCAATAACGTCAACTAACTTGCGGGATGAACTGACCAGCTGGTGTAGTGTAACTTACTTTCTCCATAGAACCGGGCAGCATGAAGAGCAATGTGGTGCTGCATCAATGTGTTCTAAAAAATAGTCTGCAATACAGTCAGCAATCATTAGGATGTAAACACGGGTCAACGGCATGCATCTACATATCACCAACAGCTAGTCTTCAAATAGCCATAGATGGAATTCAACATCATAAGGACATACAGATCTCTGCCTGTGATGACCTCTCTTACACCTGGAAATATAACAGAAGAAAATTTATTTAGATAGCATCACAGATCACATACAACTACATTAAACCACTACCTAGCTTCTTTGTCTGAAATTCCCACAATGCACCTTTGTCAAGGGCACACACTGAAACACCCACGAGGAATATACATATATCCTGACTTAAAAGCAATGGTTTTTAGAGTGTGCTGCATACATAATAGAGGGGTGAGGACAATAGATAAAAAAGTAATAAAAAGGTAAATGATCGCAAAAAAAGAGCCCTGCCATGTTCAGCCGTGTCAGCGTCATTGCCGCCCTTGCCGGGTTCCTCTGCCTGCCGTGCGCCGGCTGTGCACCGTCCTCGGCCACGCCCCTGAATTTAGTAAAGTAGCATATACATCTTAATTCAGTAAAAGTAGCAGATGCATCTGAAATTCCCATACTGGTTCCATGCAACAGGTCAGATGAAACAGTGCACTATTGTGTGTGGCGAGACCATTGAATTTTAGTCATTTTACTGTAAAGATATGTCTTAATAAATACATTATACATTCATAGGAGTAGGATATAGCTTACTATAATTTAAACCAGTCAAAAATTGCAGACGCAGTACATAGAATCCCTCTGTGACATTCTATCCAACATAACTCCAGTGTCTTGTCATTTTACAGTTTGAGTTGAAAAGTAGAACACCAACCCTGAGAAGAAACCAACCTTTGTTTTGATATCCCATGATAATTTCAGAGTTGAGATACAGTATGGGGTCCAGAGCTACATTATTAGGCCCAATCCCATCGTCCAAAGCTAAACCAATCGCTGGTATATTCAGGTCACACATGGATATATGTTAAACAGAACCAATTGCAAGCAGTAGATAAATGAGTTTAGTGGCTGCTAATATTCAGAAACACAAAGCACTAAGGAACATGTCGACACCGAAAAAATTAAGAATGATGAATAGGATTCCAGAACCAGAAGACACTTGAGACATAGAGCAAAATAATGACCAGGGCAGAAACAGGACCAATCCATAACAATAGGGGGGGGTACCCAGTGCAGAGAGCTCCCACTCTGTGTGGGGTCTGGGGAAGGGTGTCAATGGCAAGCCTTACCCTCGCCTGTGCAATGTGAGGAGACCAATCCATAACAATCTCTACACTAAATACTTGAGTCTTTGATCCAATCGGATCAAAACAGTAGCGTCAGAAAGGGAGGATTGGAGCAGGTAGAGGCGGTACAAGAGGCGGACATGCCGGCTATGGTGCGGAAGGCGAGGCTGAGGGATCAGTTTGGGTTGGGCTTGGCGATGAGAATGGAGAGGCTGCCATCGGTGAGGAGCAGGTTGGTGGGGCCGTCGACACGGACGGGGTCGTTGGCGTTGAGGAGCTCCTGCCGAGATGGATGGAGATGGGGAGGTGCTGAGTCAAGCTGGAAGAGCCAGGTCCCATCTGCGGTGGCTAAGTAGAGCCGGGCAGGGTGTGGCAGGGGCGGGGTGTTGGCGTCGGCGGCGGAGAGAAAGTAGAGGGCGCCAGGACGGTGGCGGGGCTGGGAGAGCCAAGTCCCATCTGCGTTGGCGACATTGAGCCGGGCAGTTCAGGATGGCGGTGCGCGTGACGGAGCCGGGGGGTCCAGCATCGTTCCATGGCGCGTGATTGACAGGGCAGTCGGGGGAGCGAGGGAGCGCGATTATCGCCGCAGGGCACCGTGTGCGAGCGAGAGCGATCGGCATCGCAGGCGGGCAGACTGACGACCCGAAGTCGATTGTCGCACCAAAACGGTGTCCACCTTTTAGTCTTTTTAGTTGTGAGAGATTATCGAGTGTACCCATAAGTTGGGGCTTAGGGCCTATCTGTCAGGAGCTAAATCCTGTGAAAACTACTATAAGTGCTTGCTCTCTGTTATACATTGTTATTAGAATGACTTTTTCTGACAACTGAGTGAATAGTGGACATCTATCCCTACCATATTTAGGCTGAAACTGCACTGACTATGTACCTTCCAAAGCTGAGTTGTGTTAGGTTGTTTTAAGATTTTAATAATTTTATTTTTTTTACTCTTGTAGAGTTTGTCCTCCTGTGTTTGTAATTTCAGTTTGGAACTCATGAGAGTTTGCACTGACTATGTACCTTCCAAGGCTCAGTTTCAGTTTCCTCTGTTTCTTCAGGTGAAAAGATGGCATCCAATACAACAGAGGGGTCTGGAACTCATGAGAGTGAAGAGGGCCATACATCTTTGACACCACGTCGTACATGGTCCAACGTTTGGGAGCACTTCCAGAAAGATTTGGTTGATGTGGATGGTGAACTCAAAGCTGTTTGCAAGTATTGCCAACTGAAATTGGTTACCAAGTCTGGCACCAGTAGTCTTAGAGGCCATATTGCCAATGCTTGTCCAGCAATTGACAGTGCTATCAGAAAGAGATTTCAAGCAAGCATGAGCAAGCAACCAGTAGATACAAATTTTGTCTTTGATGCCCAACTCTATCATTCATGCTGAGGTCCCATTTCTGCAGTTTGAAGACCATTACCTGCAGCCTTGGATTGATACAATGCAGCCAACTCTCATAGTCAAGGGTCGACATACAATCCGCAGTGATTGCTTCAAAAAATTTGAGGACCTGAAGAAAGAGCTTCATACTGAACTTCAGAGTTTGGACTCTCGTGTTTGCCTGACATCAGATATTTGGACGGCATCACAGAACTTAGGATACATGGCCATAACAGCCCAGTACGTTGATGCAGAATTCAAGATCAAGAAAAAGATCATTTGGTTTAAAGTACTAGAGTATCCTCACTCAGGCTTTGCAATTGAAGAAGAAACAATGAGGTGCTTGACAGAATGGGGCTTAAGGTATAAATTGTTTACTTTGACATTAGATAATGCAAGCAATCACACTTCGGCATGTGAAGAGTTGGTCAGAAATCTTAAGCATGAGTTATTGTTTGAAGGTGAGCATCTGCATGTTAGATGTTCGGCTCACATTCTTAACATCTTGGTTCAGGTTGGCATGACAGTGATCCACACAGCAATCAAAAAGATTAAGTGAGCTGCTGAAGCATATTGATTCATCAGTCTCAAGACTTCAAATGTTCAATTCACTTGCAAAAGGGATGGGTTTGGCCTCAAAATCTGGCATATATCTTGACATCCCAACCAGATGGAATTCAACCTTCAAAATGCTTAGGGAAGCATTGAAATACAAAGCTGTCCTTAATTCTTATGCTCCTAAAATATTTTGAAGAACCACCTACTGAGGAAGAATGGGCAAAGGCAGCAGCAGTTTCTGAATTTCTGAAAGCATTTGAAGAACTAACACTTGTTGTCTCAGCCCACAGGGAGCCTCCAGCACATAGGTTTTTGCCTTTAGTGCTTTGTATCCTTCATGCCTTGAAGGACCTGGCCTGGCAAAGTACCGATCTGCTCAAGGAGTTGGCTGTTTCCATGCACTCCAAGTTTGAGAAATATTGGAATCCTACTGAAGATGATCTTCATAATGTAGCTAACCGCAAGAGAAAGAAGAAAGAAATTGCATTTAGTGTTGTCTTAGTCATTGCCACTGCCTTGGATCCAAGAAGGAAGGCTGACTACTTGAAGTTCTTCATTGAGAAGGTGTTCAGTGATCCAAGTAAGACTAATAATTATGTGAGGTATGCCTTGGAATGGATGAGAAAGTACTTCACATTGTATGAGCAGCGATGTGCAAGTAGTGTGGACATGATGACACGTGCTAATCCAGCCTCTACTACTGTTGGGTCACCCGTTCTTGGAAAAAGAAAGCTAGAAGTGGAATTTGCTCAATACACAACACGACTAAGAGTTGCACAGGCACGAAAATCTGAAATCGATACATATTTAGAAGAACCACTTGAGGGGGATAATGATGATTTTGATATCCTAACATGGTGGAAGAGCAGATCAGACAAGTTTCCTGTATTGTCAACTATGGTTCCAGACTTCCTTGCTATTCCCCTTAGCACAGTTTCATCGGAATCTGCTTTTAGTTTAGGAGAAAGAATTCTTGGAGAACGTAGAAGCTCACTAATGCCGGAAATGCTCAAGGCCCTTGTATGTGCTAAAGATTGGCTATTCAAGACTGCTGAAGGTACAAAGCCTTTTCTATGGGACATCTTGCTGTATAGTTTTCTTTCCTGGTAACTAATCAAAATTTCATTTTTCAGATCAACATCTGGAACTTGAAGGTCTGGAACTTGAAGAGGGCTCTAGCAGTAGCAGGTATGTTTTCAAGGTCTATACATTAAAAAAATGTATACTCTGTGCTGTTATTATTGTTAGCTTTCATTACTGTATATTCTATATTGTGCTGCTATTATTGTTAGCTTTGATTAGCTGTCATTGTGCCACCTTAAACAAATGTTCTGTTCTAGTAAACTGAACAAACTTTTATTTTTTACGCCAACATCTAGAACCTGAAGAGGGCTAGCATGAGCAGTAGCAGCCTAGCAGGTATGTTTATCGCCCATGATTGGTACAATTCTACTGCTTGCTGTTGTGCATGGATTTCTGGCTGTCAGAAACTGTCTCTAAGCTGTGGGCTTGGATCTCAGTGACACACTCATAGTTGTTATGGCTATAATACCTCAGGGATCTTCTCTGCTATATATTTACTATTACTGGATACTAGTCAATGTGTTGTATTGTGAAGTTGGCAGATAAGGAGTAGGACTGTAGGAATGAGTTGGGGTTGGATGCTGAAATTGCTTCCAACTTGATGGAAGTTGTTGGATTTGTGTTTTTATTGTTTTCTGGCATCTGAAATAAATTATTAGTATATCTGTCTCTAGTATAGGCAGAGGGTGCATTTTGTGGTAATTAACGATGGTACAACTTCAATAGTGCAAGTTCTTTGATTTTATTAGGATGTGGCAAAGGGATCATCCTGTTCTAGGCAACTTGATTTATTCGTGATAACAAAATTTGTTTTTTAGAATTGTGACATTGTGGAAAAAAGCTCATTCATATGCTCTTTTAGAATTGTTTTTTAGATTTATTGGTTTGAGCAGTAGAGCTAGACCTGTAGCACTGACTTGTGGAAAAAATAGAATTGTGACATTGTGGAAAAAAATAGCTGACAGAGTACCTCTTAGAAATACATGCAACCAACTGAAAATATTCAATGGCTGAATGTGGCAGTTTTATGTTTCTGGTCATGGAGATTAAGCGAAGGAAGCAGAAGTTTGTTTTTTGGACAAGAACAGTGGTGAAATACTCAAAATTCTGTAATGTATGGAGGCTAAATATGATGAAGACTTGAATTTCTGTAATATATGGAGGCTAAATAATATGTGATTTTTCTCTGTTTTGTTAGTCTAGTTCATAAACTAAATTATTTTCTGGTTTCAAGTTTTATAATTCTTTGGATCCTTTTAATTTCGTGTTCATTTTATGATTTTTGTCAAACTTTCTATGTTTAAATTGCTACCTAGAACTAGAAAACGTACAAAGCACAGACCCACTCACTAACAGTACAGACCCACTCGCTTTGTTCGGGCCCAAGAGACTGACAGGCTAGATCAGTTTGGTTTATTGAGGTGGACCAGCGGGGTGCATTGGGTTGGCTCTCTAGTCGTTGATGGAATGGTTTGGTGTGGGTGCGGTCCGGATTTCTGTACATGGCACTACTAGTTCGCGGACTTCAGGGGATCTAATGGTTTGGTGTGGGTGTGGTTGATCCCATTTTGCTGTTTAGTTTGAGATATGGAGTCGATCCTACTTTTTTTTGGTTGGAGAGAGAAAATAATAGGCAGGGTGTTGTTTTTTATGCCGTTGGCGCACACTTGGGCCATGCATGCCATCTATGGGGCCCACCAATCATTCTCTATGATTATCTTCCACCTTTCCCCGACTGTTCCTCTGCCTCGTCTTCCACCCGATTTTGCCTTGTCTGCCACCCGATTTTGCATGACACTCCGGTCATCCCCGCCTATAGCAATCAAACCCCTCTCCCGACGCTATACCCACCGCCACCCTCACCAACACAACCCAACACATCCGACGTTGTTCCCAGCCGCCACATCTGTTCCCACCCTCAACTGCCCCACATCTCGAAGCTTGGCTGCCATCTTTGAATCTTCAAGCTTGGGGGTCGTTTAAGACTCCGACGCTAGCCACCGTCCTGCCTTGCAGCCAAGGGAGAACCGAGACCTTCACCGCTTCCCTTCGCCTTGCCCTCGACTTCGGGTCTGCTCGCGCACCACAAGGGCTCACACACCTGTGTCAACCCCAATCTTGTCTCTATGACTGCCAGATGGACCAACAACGATGTGCGAAGGGGACAACCCGTCCCCTCGATTTTATGGAACGGGGCGTCCTAAATCCTAGGATATTGTCGTGGGTTTGATTCTGCAACAGTGATTAGTGATTCGATCGTGGGTTGATACTAGGGAATTCGGTGGCTTAGCACTCAAGACACAAAGGGTTTATCTTGGTTCGAGCATCTAAGCCCTACGTCCAACAATGGTGGTCTTTGTGTTAGAATGCTCAATGAGCCCTTTGCTAATGATCTTGGGTTTGATCGCTCGATTTGGGATCCGATCATTCGATAGCTTCATAGGTCGATCTCTTTGATAGGAGCCCATGCCCCACCTTATATACTGGAGGGCCATGGTTTTACAAAAAAGCATGGCTCGGGGGTTGGGTCTAGGGTTTCGTATCCCTGGTAGCCGAAAGTTCTAAACCATCCCTGGCATCCTTTGCTGGAGCCTAGAGTTGACCGTTAGAGGTGGAGTTGCCATCGTGTTGTCCTCGTGGCGTCCACCGCACGCTAAGGGCCTGGACACATGCAGGGAGAGACTAACCAGCAACCTCTATTTACGAGTAGGGATGAAAACGGTACGGATATTTTCCCACCGTATTCGAAACCGAATCCGTTTAGAGGGGTTGAGATCTGTCCGTATCTGAGTCCGGATATCCAACATCTGATACCGTATCCGTATCCGAATACTCAAATCGCATATTTATGATGTCGATATCCAATCGTATCCTATCCAACATAGTTGACACTCCGAATCCGGACAGAAATATGAAAACAAATGTAATATCGGTGATATCCGTCCGTATCCGATCCGTTTTCATCCCTATTTACGAGGCAATGGTTCCATTTTTTTTCAAAGCATAGGGCCTGGCCACATGTAGGGAGAGACTAACCAGCAACCTCTATTTATGAGGCAATGATTCGATTTTTTTTCAAAGCATAACCTTTGTTGATCGCCTTCACAAGAGGAACAATAGTTGCGGTAGCAGATGAGCCACCAGCAGGCAGAACACAAAAGGAAGTAGCAGCCGTAGCTGCGATACCAGCGATCAAGACAACAACACATACATTATACATGTGATTGGAACTTGGAAGAGACAGACAGAAGAAATAAATGCCGTACGTCCATGCAGAAAATTAAAGGAAACCAGGATGGCAGATAATATATACGGAGGGTCTCCAATGCTTCTTCGTGCGCACCGTTTTGCCAGTCAAACATTGTCGCTGCCGGTTGGCGTTGGCTTCTCAGATGCAGCCGGCGTCATCGGGCTGGTGGCGCCCATGTCTCCCTGCACGTGCAGCTCCGTCCTCTGCAGCCTCTCCGCCAGTGTCTCCATGCCAAGGAAGGACATGAGCATCCAGACGTAGGAGAGGTACTCTCCACCCTTGCCTAGGCTCTTGGCATGCAGAAAACCTCGGCACCTGCCGGCAGAGAAGCAGAGCATCTCCACCCACACGCCCTGGATCACCCTCCACATCTTCGCCTCCCCTTCCTTGCCTGTTATATCCATGAGCTTTTGGGCGAGGACCCAGGCGTCAAGAACCAAACCTTCTGAACCCTCCTTGGCGCTCTGCAGCTTCTGCATGATCTGAGAGGCAATCATCTGTTGCTCGTCCAGCAGTGACGGTTTCTTCGTCTTCTTCTGTGTGGGTACCGTCCCATTTGGAATTGGTGACGAGGTGCTGTCGTCCTCGTCCCCGGCCATTTTCTTGAGCTTCTCGTAGGCGTCCTTGAACAGGCTCCGCCTGGAGCCGGGCATCAGCATCTCTGGGTTGGTGAACAGCAGGTAGGCCATGTAGTTGGAGATCTCCCTGCTGCTGCGGCGGCGGGCGGCGTCTCCTTCATCATGTCCATGGCTGGAAGGGGTGGCTGACTTGCCTGCGGCGGCGTCATCCATGGGGCGGAAGAAGCAGAAATCCGTGGCGAGGTGCCAGAGGACGACGGACTCGTCAAATGGCCTCCGCAGGCTCTGCAGCGGCATGCCCCCAGTGCAGCCCTCGCGCTGGAGAGTCAGCTGGCCCCGGTTGTTGTTGAACTCATGGAAGGTGGCCGCGTCCTTGATGCTCTCCGTCCACCCATGGACGACGACATGGTCGAAGACGAGCTCGGTGATGTCGCTGGAAGACTGGCACGGCTTCATGCACCAGATTTGGTCGATGTAGTCCCTGCAGATCAGCAGGAGGCTCCTGAGCCTCCTGTGCTTCCTGTTGCGGACCAAGTACCATAGGAGATTGTACTGGGCAACAAGGTCAGGCCAAGTTGCGTCCAGCTGGATGCCGGGTATAATGCACTCCAGAGCGGCGGTGCAGCACAGCAAAGTGTAGGTGATCTTGACGTCGGTGTCGTCGTAGTTTTCTCTATGGCTCTTGTGGAAGAGCGCAATGGCCGCAAACGTCAGATACACAACCACGTGCCGTAGCAGATTACCCCAACTACTTTTGCTGGTGAAGTCACAGATGTTCCAAATACAGCCCATCGTCATTTCGTGCTTGGTGTAGAGGCGATGGAAGGTGTTGGAGAGGCGGGACCGCAGCCGACGATGCGCTTCGTTTTTTTCTTGCATCATGTACTTTAGATTCTTAAGCCGATCAGAGTAAGGGAAGGCAAGGTCTACGAATAGGTTGTAGGGCTTGTCATTCACTCCCGTTTCAGCTATTTTGCCTTCATGGACCACCTGAACGTACCCCTGAACGTACGTAGATGCAGCTTCCACATAGTCGTCCAGCGATTTGATGTCGCCTTCGATCATCCTCTCCACCCATGTCTTGTTGGAGGTGTCCCCAATGCTGTGGATGCTAGCGCTCTGGAGAGCGTATGGCTTCTCCAAGCATTTGAGAATACCGGGAACAAAGATCAAGATTGCGGCCTGCAATAATCTCTTCTCCCCTGACCATGACTTGCGGAACACGTAGATGGCTACAGTAATCTAACACGGGGGTGAAAGAAAGAAAAGTGAGCACACTTCTATATATATCTTAAATAAATTAATATAAGGACCTTTGAGTTTGTCCAAAGTTAAACTATATATCTTAAATTTAATCAAGTTTATAGAGACAGTAGTAACATCTACTACGTTTAAAAGTAAACTATAAAAATATAAATATTTATAGTACATCCAATGATGCCCATTTGATATCATCAATATCATTGTTTTTTTTTAAAAATGGCCAAATTAGGATAGCTTGACTTATATACGACAACTCAAACACAAGAATTCGTTATTACCTCCTTAATTTTGTGGCCACGAGCTGTGATACATGAGGTCTTTAATTAATCAGTTATTTTATTTGTATTTCAAATCACAAAATGGGTATAAGTTTCTTATTTGAGTCTTGTGTTATTTCATAGCTGACCTGGAGATGGGAACTAGCCTTACCAAAGTTCATTGTCTTGTCTTACTACATGGACAAGAAAAATAAGCCTCTACGTTTGCTCTCAATGTCTAAAAATTGCCTAGTCAGTCAATCTTAATATTAATAATTGGATACTCCACATTAATCTTCATAAGACACATTAGAAAAAAAATAGGTAAATTTTAAATTTATCAAAAAAATTAAAAACATATGACCTTTAATCTGGTAGGATCTAATTATATTGTTAATAATATTCATGGGATCTATCCCATTTTTTAAATACTACCCACTTCTATCATAATGAAAATACATAAAGTAACACCTTAGGTTTGCATCTAAACTACCTACCTCTGCCATTATAAAAAGAAATACATAAATTAACCCCTTGATTTGCATCTAAATTACCAACCTCTACTATTATAAACGATAATTTAAAGTAACCCCTAAACTCGCATCTAATTCACTCTACCATTGTGAAAGATAAAGCAAAGTAACTCCTTCAATTTTCTTTTCAATTAGTCACATCTGTCATTTATGAAAAATAATATAAAATAACTCTTTAATTTTTGTATCTAAATTATCAATCTTTGTTCTTCTAACAAAATCCCACAAATCTATGTCTAAATAGCAATATAAGCCACTATAGAAAATAACTCAAGTACCATAAAGAAAATGCTACCATCATGTATACCAAGTAAATATGTATACAGCAGGATACATGCTTATTTAAAAAATGTCTCGTCGACAAACCACATACCAATGTCACTTACAAGTTAAATTATAGTAATATACTCCATAACAATAAATTTTATAAGTTGTTACTTCAGATAAGTATATGAATTTTGATTGAAATATTATGACATATCAATACTAGTAATTTACTTCCTAAAACTCTATATATTCTTTTGAAACAATACTAATACACATAAAATTCTTTGTTATAGTAAATAAAGTCAACATCTTGACTGCCTAGGTTCATGTTGAAATGGCTAAGAGTGTAACTAAGAGTGTAGTCTAGGATCTAGAATCCACTTTTTAATAAAATAGAAAAGGATTTTTCAATAAAATACACAATAAGTGTTAAGAATTTCGACTTAGCATGTACATAAAAAATTGTAACAACTAATAAGATCAAAAGTGAAAAACAAAAATATATATTCATGATGTTATAAAAAATATCCAACAAAGAGTTGACATACTTAAGCCTAGGTGTTAACTAAATACATATTAAAGACCAACTCAGTTGCAATGCAATGGTTAATAACACATATATATCTTAATATTACTAATGGGTGGTCCCCCGGGAGAGCCTCCGAATTAATACTTGCAAGATGGGTTGAGAAAAAAGATAAATGCTAGAAATTATCATCACAATTAGAAACGTTTGGCCCTCAATTCGTTTGGCTCATAGAGATTGGCAACCATTGGATCTATTATGTTTCCTAAAAAATTACCTACTTTTGCCATTGAAAAAACATTAATAGCCCTCTATATTTCTATCTAAACTACCAACTTTATCATTAATGAAGATAATTTTATAGTAACCCATATATTTCCATTTCAATTACCCATATTTGATATTATAAAAGATAATATAAAGCAACCCCGTTAATTTGCATCTGAATTACCCACATATTTTGTTGTAAAACATAAACTAAAATATCCCTCGAATCAATGTCTAAATTGCGCATATAACAAGTAAACATGAATACACTAGAGATAAATAGTATATACTTTTGTAGTTTACTGATCGCCAAATAGGGATTAGAGAGTATCTATTAATTTTGTATATGATAAATTTATCGAAACTTTCAATCTGTAACGTACTTTTGTGATCTCAGATTCTAGATCGTGCTGAAGCATGGGTTCATGCCTAGTTATATTACTATTTGGTTAATAAGAGAGACGTCAACATTTTCTTTGCTCAATTTATGATAAAGTTAGGATGATGCAACAATAATAACATGCATAGGTGTACCAAGAGTATGAAATTTATGATGAAATTGTTGGTACTAGGCATGCGATTGCACAGATCATCCTTTGTTTAACACAAAACAAAATACTGAAACATCGAATTTGAAATTTAATACAAAGATATATATTTGATGTTGTTTCACCAACCTGAGACACGGCAGTTAGAATATGACGCCCCCACAGCTCATTGTCCTCGATGTTATAGGCCGTTATGCCATCTTGCCCACCAAGGTGCAGCAAAAGTATAGGTGCCCACAACACCTCCAAGCTAGCGCTACTGCGGTGCGTGGATAGCCATTCTTGCCTTTTGTGACGATTGAATAGGGTGGCAAGTGCGTATATAGCTACGGCATCGCTCGCTAGGTAGGCGAGCCAGGTTAAGAATTTGAACCAAGCAGGGACACAACGCTTACGCAAGGATGCGGCGATGAAGAGGAAGTATTGAAGGAAGAGGCTGCACAGGACAAGGATGCGCAACTGCCACTCCTCCCACCACTGCACTGCATCTGAGAAAGCCATGATCGAATCACCCTACACACTATTGGATATTGTGAAGTCTCAGCTCTAGAACTGCTGGAGATGTCCATCCTCCTTCGCCGCTCCTCTCTTTAAATGGTGTTAGCTCTAAGGACGTATCGGATGATGGCTTCTGTCACACGTGCTCCAAGCTAGCTGTGCCTGCCGTGTTGTGGTACTTGTTCTTGAGTGCATGCGCCTCTTTTGTAAGATGTACATATCTCTTTTTTGTTTTACAAGACTTGTTTTTCCGATACTCAAGGCATCAGCCGAGCTTTAAACAAAGAAGCTTAACAAGGTTCTCATACAGCACAGAAATTTTGAGACGCTTCTTTTAATATACGGCGTGGCTAGCGCCCGGATGTCCGGACGGACGCACGTGTCCAGACGCCCGCGTAGCCCGCATCCGTCCGTCTCACTCTGACTCACACATGCACCTCACCCTCGACGCTGCGCCCACCGCTCCTTGCGTCCGGATGGACGACCCCGCAGCCCGCCCCTGCCTTGCAGCGCACCCTGCCCCCCGCTGCGCCCGGCTCCTTCCCCCTGCGTGGGCGGGACCTGAGAGCCGGCCTCCAGCTCGCTACGCCCTCGTCCGCCGGTCCCCAGCCCGCCACGCCCCATCCCGACGCTCGTGGGTGCCCTTGGCTCGGCTAGAGAAGACATGAGGCGCCATGGCACATGCGCCCAAGTGGCGCGCCCGACGACGACAGGCGACGGACGGACGCCAAGGGAGCGAGTGGCGCAGGTGAGCGGCAAAGGGAGCGAGGGCATGCGGGCAGCCAGAGATCGGGGGAAGGGCACGGCGCGGTAGCCCGACGAGTGCGCGGTGGGGGAAGACGGCAGACGGCAGACGGATGAGCGACCGAGTGCTTCGGGCCGACCGGATAAGCATACGAGGGAACGGGGATTTGTGTTTTTGTTTCTGAGAGAGATGGACCCGCTCCTATGGAGCCACGTCCGGACAGGAGTTACGGACGGACGTCCATGTTGGATCACTATCATTTAATAAATTGCCTGTAAGGGCCTAAAAGCCCCTCCAGTTTCTAAAAGAAGGGTTCAGCCTAGCTGGAATCATTGTATAGTTTGGTTCGAAAAAAAAGGGGGCGGTGTATTTTGTTAATTTTCTCTTCAATTTAAACTAAATTTAAGTGACCTTGTGCTGTGCAGGACCTTGGGATATAGGAATGTAATTACTGAAGGGGTTGATTTGTTAATCCGATCACCCCTTGCATAGAAGGGTTCGGGGCTGTACTGTATATATGCTTGCCCCAAGTCACATTAATTATTGGAATTGAGAGGTTCTGTATTATAGGAGCTTTTAATTAAGTACGATTCTAAGTAAATGATGATGATGATTATGATGGCAAACAACCATTTAGCACGCCGACATACATTAGAGCAACGAACTCGAGGCTTTACTAACACAAAAAGCACTCTAATTTCCATGTTCATAGCTTTCGCACAAAGGGCTTGCCACACTACGCAAGTAATTCTACCCCAGCTGGCTGAATGGAATATATTCTTAAAAGAAATGCTTTACATAAGAATGTCGAAATCTTTGTCCTGACAGTGGGATCAGATGCATCATCCACATCATTCAGGCCTCGTTTGTTTAGGGTGGATTGAGGGCGGGAAATAATCCTGCTGATCATTGCTACTATAAATAGACCTGCCATTCCATCGGGAACCGTTCTAGGCGCCCATTTCCAAATAAACGAACGAGCCCTCAATGTGAAACCACATCATAATTTTATCTTTTTTTTTACAAACATGCAAGAGAGCCGTCGATTATGTTATTATATTTATAAAGAAGTTGAAACCTAGAGAGGGCAGAACACCATATATAGCAATGGGACACTAGAGATTTGAGCAACGATAATAAGAAGCAAAAAATGGGCACAATAGCGACAGAAAAAACACTAAGGGCGTCCCCAACGGTTGTCCACCTCGCTAGCGAAGAGGAGCATCTACCCAATCAGGAAGAAAGAGAAACAAAAAAACTCACCGTGCTAGCGAGGCAACATGAGCTTAGCTCACACGTTTCTTGAAAATTTTCAAGTCTCTGAGTCTGACATAGTACTTACTAGTATCTAACTTCTTATTTTTTTAATTTTTTTAGGCTTCGTGTTAGCCAGCGATTTGTAAAGGCTGTTGGGGACGTCCTAAGGGAGTAAGGGTAGGTTTGGATGCCTGTCCATAGGCCATGGTAGCCCTGTCAAAACACGGTTGGTCACTGCGGGCTAGCCATCCTTGGGCTTACCTTGGCACTAGTGCTCACAGGCTAGTTAATTTTATGCCCCAAAAAAGTGCGCTCCAATCGTGGGTAGGGGCAGCAAAATCGTCTGCCAATATTTGCCCGGCCTAGGTGTACGTGGACGGGTTTTAAAACTTCCGGTGGGTTGTCATCTTTCAATTCGAAATGGCATAGGCTCGAAAAAACGCTCGTGCCCATAAATCTTGGGCGTGTCGTTGTCATCCAAAGGTGCTTATATTCATTAGCTAGGCTAAATTTGGACATGAAATTGGTGGCCATGGTTTTGGCTAACTTTAGCTAGCACAATAAACTAACATGGCTCAATGAGAGAGCTGCCAATGGTGCTATACTTTGGTATTGTGAACATAACATTTATTGTCATGGTCTATATTCTGTTTTCCTAACCAAGAAATTACTATGTTAATAATGATTTTGACATTTTTCTAAAAAAAAATCTCACCATGTTTGAAGATGTGTTACCCTCCGAAGTATTTAAGTTTTTGATGTAGATACAAACACAAATAAAGCATTATGTTTTCTCAAATACTTATTATGTTTTCTCAAATATTTGAAATTATTAATCTAGTTAAATAGCAATGAATTTCATTAAAGAGAATGTTATTTCTAAATTAATTTATGAATTATAGATATAATTTTCTTGCTACACTCATGCAGTTGCATTTGAGTTTTTTGGTGAATTCGAAGTGATATACTCTCTTCGTCCAAAAAAATATATAGTTTTGGCTATGTATCTAGACAAGCACTTATCTTGATGCATAGCTAGAAATACATCTATTTTGGGATGGAGGCAGTATTGCCTAAGAGCAACTTCAACGGAATCGATATTGCCTGCCGTGAACCACAATATGATGATTCTAGCGACAAAACCTCCTCCGACAATATCTCTTTCTGGTTCTCTATTTCCCCCCATCCGCTATCCCGGCATTTGCGGAAGATTTCCCGAGCAGACGCCGCTCGCTATCCTCAGCCCACAAAGAGTTTACCGCGATCACGAGTGTATCCCTCTCCCGCGTGCTCCTTCCTCTTCCCATGCGTGCCGCTCACCCTCTCTCCCATGCGTGTCTGTCCTTACCCGATATTCCCACATTCGAGCTCACTGATAGCACACCCTCCTGATTCGAATCGGCCATCTGCCCATGGGGAACCCCAATTGCTAGCGTTAACCGTTGCCCATACTCCCATCGATGGATGACTAGTTCCATGTTCAATTCAGCAAGCCGCAGGTGGCAGGAGGAGGAGCAACCATCCATTGTCAGCTTTTCTGGCCTAACCTCGCTCAGTAAGGTGAACCTTGCCAGCGCAGGTCAACCAGATCAACTCATCCAAGCTAGCAAGGGAAATCCTTGCTTGCATGGATAACGAGGCACGTGGGCAACAAATATAAACATATCACCTATTCCAACTTCTTCATTGACGATGTGAGGCAAGTTCTGGCTAGAATCCAAACAGGACCTTAGTGACCTTTCTATGTAGCTGAAGCGATCTAGATGCCCAAGAGAGGGTTGAATTGAGCTAATCTAAAATTCTGAAAAAATTAAAAGCTATCACTTAGTCCATTTCACCTCTTATGCCTAATAGTGTTTTCTATCCTGCCGCTCAAAGTTTGCAACAAACTTCCAACCTTATGCTAGAATAGCAATCCTAGCAATGTAGATACATGAATGTAAATTGCTCAAATATAAAGTAGAAGGGTTAAGAACACGGCGATGTTTTTCGAAGGTATCGGAGAGTCGGCACTCTCCACTAGTTCTTGTTGGAGCACCTGTATAAGGGTATAGCTCCCCTTGATTCACGCAAGGACCAAATACTCTCTATGGGTTGATTCTTCGCCACTCCGGCATGCTGAATCACCGACAACAGTTTATACCATGAGTTGGGTCTCTTGCCAAGCTCCCAATCACACCAAGCCATCTAGGTGATGCCGATCACCAAGAGTAACAAGCACAAACTCTCACTAGACCTAAACAAGCCTAATGAGGAAGGTGGATGCACATATTCTACTCCCTATGCATTAATGAAGTCCTCTATTAAAGAATGCATACTTTTTAGAATAACTTTAAGACATCCTCATTATCCTTCCTAACTGTTAAGAATATAGATTTTGGTTAAAAATACTCTCCAACAAGTTCTTTAATTGGTTACTAAAATATAATCATCCTCTATTACAGATTTCTCGCCAGCTAGACTCTCTAAAGTGTGCACAAAATATAAAAAACTATTGGAAAGTGAAAATATATAGAAAACATTTTTTATTCAAATGATTCCAAATGATGATTTAGAGAGTGAGTTTTAGAAATACTATTGAAGATGATATTAGAGCAACTCCAAAAGATTCTTTATATCTTTCCTAAGTCATAGAAATAGAGATTTTGGGGGAAAAAATACCTTGCAACATTCTCTTTAAATGGATCTTTAAATATAGATATATCTTCTATTCTGGATTTCTCGTTAGATAAAGATGAAGAACGAGGATGACTCTCTAGAGGGCGCATAAGATATAGAAAAACTTTTAGAGGGTATAAAGATATCGAAAAACTATTTTTACGTACTTAATTGACTCTCCAAATGATAATTTAGAGAGTAAATTTTAGAAAGACTTTTTAATATGCTCTTAGAGAAACACTTTTTGGAGAGCCTCTAAACTGAAGATTTAGAATCCAAATTTTAGAGTATCTGGAAGGTGGTCTAAGTTGGAACTTAGAACGACACTACAAAATTCGTGAAA